CGGAATCCTACTCAGTCTTGTTTTTTTTAATTTTTTATGTTCTTGTTTGTGTTGATTTTTTTATAATATTTATAATATGTTTTTAGTTGCAACTGTTGATTTTACACAAACAATAATTTTCTTTATTAATGTTATGACTTAACAGAATTTATGAGAGACAGCAGTCACAGCCTGAAATAGATATGCTGAAGGAATATCTACTATACTGATGACAAGTGAAATTAATACTATAGTCTTGACTTGAATCCTTGTTCAAGAAGCTCCATCTTCCCTAGCTATCTATTCCTGTTCTTCCTGATGTCAAAGTCATAATCATTGCATTATTATAACATTAATTGTTTTTTTAAATAAAATAATTCATTAAACACTTGATAAAAGAATAATATGTAAGATTAATACCTTCTTTTAGCTGGAAACCTCCACTAAGTAATGCAATTGATTCCAAGCATAGCTAGCCTCGCTAGATTAAAACATCGATTGCTTTTCCCAGTTCTGAGATCTGAGCATGCGCGACCACGCCCAAATTTTGGGGCACATGCTTCTATAATTAACAAAATGGCGACGGGAGATAAGTTGGCCTGATACAGCAGCCATAACGTCACTTTTCTTATCTTGGAGAGTGATTTTAGGGGACATGGATCCGCGCATATACTGTTGGAGTAGAGTGGTGTAAGAATTATACTTCTAGCAAGAGTCAAGATCGAGATACAGCTCGCCAACTGAATTGCCAGGACTTTCTTGATGATGATGATGATGATGAAGATGAAAAAAGGTGGCTGAACAAAATGGCCAGTTCGCTGATTTTTGGTTTTCCTCTTAGACTAGGTTTTGAGCCACGCTATTGGTACCAATGGAGTCCTCTGGTCAAGATGAGGTTCTCTAAGAAGTCTGGTAACCATAGGAGCTCGTTTTCCTGGTATAGCAAGGCTGCAAAAGTCGTGGCAGCCATTTTGTTTGGGGGTGAATCCTACTTAGTAACGCTACCGCATTACTAATAGTACAGGGTCGTGAGCCAAATTTCACCAAAAATGAAAAGTAAAAAATTCTCCATTTTTATTACATTTCCTAATGCATATACATGTTATTATGTTGCGTAGAAAGTTTTAGCTGATTCCGATCAAGTTTGGATTTTTTATGATTTTTTAAAGTTGCTCCAAAATCGGACAAAAGTCCCTGTATAGTACATGGTCTCAGGCCAAAATTCACTTTAAAAAAAAGTAGAGAATTCTTCATTTTTATAATTTTTCCCGATACATATACATGTTCTTAAGTTGCGTAGAAAGTTTGAGCTGATTTCGATCAAAATTGTATTTTTTACAAATTCTTCAAGTTTCTTCCCAAAAGCCATATCCTATTATTATACATGTATCAGTGTTTAATAATAGTTATTTATAGTTATTATTAGTTATTAATGATTCTCCTCCCTCCTCCTCTCAATAGGCTCCAGTCTTGATACACTAACAGTACTTGGTTCTCATAAAGGTGATGTCATTCTCCTAGCTAATAACAGTTCTTTAATTCACCTCACCCTTCACTCCTCCTCATCCCACCAACAGTCACTGGTCTTCTCTTTAGTCTTCAGTATAGAGCCGAACATGGAGTCCTTCCAGTATGATGACACTCTTCCACAATATGTCGGGAAGTTGAACGACGTCCTTTTTAATTGGCTGCTGCTGTTCACTCTCAGTGAGGACGGGATTGTGTGTATCCTAATTAATGCCCCATTCATGTTTCTATAGCCCATAGTATTTTCAAAAAAATAGTTAAAAAATGACTCCCAATTTTTATTACATTTTCTGATACATATTGATGTCCTTATACTGTGTAGAAAGTTTGAGCTGATTCCGAGTTAAATTTTTCAAGTTACGACCATTTTAAGAAATAGGCCAAAATCTGAAAAATACCCAAGGCTATAGCCCATGCTTTTTTTTTCAAAAAATGACCAATAAATTACCCCCAATTTTTATTACATTTTTTGATAATCGTAATCCTTAACTTACATTTATAATAATTATTATTATTTATTATTTTTATCATCATCATCATCATCATCATCATAATTATTATTATTATTATCCAGTGGTCTACAGTGTCTCTAATGCTATGATCATTGCTGCCATTCATCCACTGGAATACTGTAGAATGTTTAGCTCCAACACTCCAGGTAAGGACTTACTATTATACGATAAAATTAAAATTAAAATACCTCCTATCTATTCTTCTCATGTTTAGATGGTCCTTCTCTCCTACAAACCCTGTCCTTGTCTTCATTTCATAAGATCTTAGTCTCTCCTGATTTAATGAAACTCTGTGTCTCCACTAAAACCCACCACATCATTGCCGTCGATTTAGGGATTTATTTTGCCATGTTCTCATCACATTATTCTAAAAATTTCCGTCAAAAGTTGACCAAGAGGACCCCGCCCACCCAGCGGCCCCAGGACCCGCATATCAGCCAAGAGGAGGAGCTAGAGAGAGGGAGGTACGGTGGACTGACAAGACGAGAAAAAGGAACAAAATATGTCAGACCTTTTGTCAGCCATTTTTTCGTTGCTAAGCGATGCAGTAGACTAATGAGGAACATTGATAGGATGAATCTTAATGAAGGGTATGGCCTCTCACTAGTTGGGGTTTCTAAACTACCAAAAGAACATGACAAACCAGTCAGACCGGTTTCAGGTGACAAGTGGTACATGCCTAGTAGAGGGGCATGGCTTGGTAAATGAGTGGGCGGAGACTGGGAGGAGTCTAGTAATGTTTGTATTACTAGTATGAGAAAAACTAAACCACTGAATATATAACAGGAGGACATGTCCTGGAGCCACACCCACTCCGGCACTAGTTACCCCATACAGTGTATACTCCCTCCAGCTGAAGGTCATGTGATCAGTGACTCCGCCCTATTGTACCCCCACTATAATAACAGATTGGTAATAGCATATTATGATAAGAATGGGAATGGAAAAACAAGGAATGAAGAACAGGAACCAAAAACTACCAATTTAATTGTCATTTATAAGGCTTCTGAGAGATACTATTCATTAGCCAAGTGAGTCATTAATTATTATTACTATTATTAATTGATGGGTGTGGTCTAATAATGTCCTTTTAGTTTTTCGTGTCGGAACTGGTTGATCCTGCCTACTAATGAGGACAAACCGGTTTATCTGGTTTCTGATAGTTTACTATCAGTGTCGGCTTTCCTTTTATCACAAGAAGACTTTGTAGCAAAAGTAATTAATTTATTATTGTTATTATTATTATTATTATTATTATTATTATTATTATTAGGTGTTAATGTATGGTAGTGTGTCAGTAGCTGAGGAGGTGTGTCACTTGAACCGCTGGGACCAATGTTCCCTCCCTCTCAATGCACTGGAGACTGGACTGGAACTGAGGCAGTTGGACATAGTGTCATTCTTCCTTAGGAACAGAGGTAAAGGATATACTATTTATAGTAACACTAATACTATTTATAATAATGATAAATGATGCTATTTATAGTAACACTGATACTGATACCATTTATAGCAAAAAGTATAAGAATTGTATTATAGTAAATTTATTGTTTACAGTAGATACAATGCTACTACTTTACACATGTGTACATGTACATGTAGTAACAAAAACATGTTGTCGGACTCAACTTAAACTTTCACTTTCATAATTGTGATATGTGTAACTTTAGGCCTTGTTTACGCAACTAACCTGGCTTAATCTGCATTGTTCATACTATTACTGTTTTCAGTGTTTGCACTAATCCAGCACCTCCATTATCATTATAATTTATCATTTGTTAACAGATGTATCCGTTTTGATATTTTATTAGACCTATACAAACCTATATTTCCTTTTAGTAGGGCTTGCTTTGGCTAGTGCACTTAATGTAGCAATTTTAAATAATAGAATACCGTAGATCAGGAAATTAGTAGAAAGTGTGGTAGAATATTTTTGAGTTTTAAAATTGTGCTGTGATTTAATTTTTACTAAAATAAGACTGTCACATGTATTATTGAATGTGGCATGTAATTATATGGGTGATCTAATTTTTGCAAAATCCTAATCCAGTAAAATTAAAACCACAGTAAAAATTTCCATATAGACGGTAAAATATAAAACAACTAAACATTTAAACTAGTCAATCACAACAATTTTGCAGCATAATATTTATTTCTAATATAACTAGCAATAGATTTCTCTTCTATTGTATCCAGTGCTGTAGCTAATGATGACCAACTGGGACCTCCTTTCTCTCTCACTTTATCTTCTCTTAACCAAGCAGACATACACTCACGGAAACACTCCACTGTCTTTCCTCTATAGTCAGTTTCTATAGCCTTTAGTCTAGGATCATATAATCCTAAATGAAGCCCAAACTGATACCATTTAGTACAATCCAATTGATTGAGTATTGTTAGCTCTTCAATGATAGTAACAAGATCTTTAATACCTATGAAAAATAATAATTATTAATGTGTCTATACACTGTACAGTCTACACTCCCACTACTTGGCAATTGTGATAGTACATATTATAACATACCTAGCTTTATTGGAGTCAATGGTGTCTTGAATTCTTCAGTTATTTCAATCACTTCCTATACAATATTAAAAGAACATAAGAAATTAAAAAAACAAGGTTAAGTAGGATTTTAGAGCAAATTTGTAAAAAACTAATCGAAACAAGGACAGGTAGGATTCCGAATGACCAACGAAAATACAAAAAGTGTATTACTGAAAGGTGAATTGAACAGGTGTACAAGTATATATTATTAGTAGTAAAAGCCACACAATGACAACCCACAATTATGACAAAGACAGTAATTTGATCAGAAATAAAATTACTTTTAAATTATGACCTTTTGATTATTAGTGCTTGTATTAATGTATCAAACAGTTTGTGTGTGTTAATTCTTACCTTAATATCACGTCCTCCTAATAGTGACAGGTTACTAATATCTGATAATGATTCATCAGGTAGGATCTCCTTCACCTTTTCACCTTTAGTACCATCGGACTTTACTAAAAAGTCTTCTCTCTTGTCAATAGCAGACAGTATATCTTTTACACTATACACTGTCCTTTCTCTTGGTGTATTCACAGGATAGGCTAGTC